GTCGTGGTCGTGGTCGTGGTCGTGGTCGTGGTCGTGGTCGTGGTCGTGGTCGTGGTCGTGGTCGTGGTCGTGGTCGTCGTCGTCGTCGTCGGTGTCGTCGTCGTCGATGTCGTCGTCGTCGTCGTCGTGATAGTAGTAGTAGTAGTAGTAGTAGCAGGAGTAGTAGAAGTAGTAGTAGTAGTAGTAGTAGTAGTGATAGAAGTAGTAGTAGTCGTCGTAGTAGTAGTAGTAGTGGTAGGTGTAGTAGTAGTAGTAGTAGTGGTAGTGGTGGTAGTAGTAGTAGTAGTGGTAGTAGTAGTAGTAGTAGTAGGAGTAGTAGTAGTAGTAGTAGGAGTAGTAGTAGTAGTAGAAGAAGAAGAAGAGGTAGTAGCAGTAGGAGTAGTGGCAGCAGCAGCAGCAGGAGGAGGAGGAGTAGCAGTAGTAGCAGTAGTAGCAGTAGCAGTAGCAGCAGCAGCAGCAGCAGCAGGAGTAGTAGTAGTAGTAGTAGTAGTAGTACCAGTAGTAGCAGTAGTAGTAGTAGTAGTAGGGGTAGGAGTATAGGAGTAGGAGTAGTAGTTGTTGTCGTAGTCGTAGTCGTGGTCGTCGTAGTAGTCGTAGTCGTGGTCGTCGTCGTAGTAGTAGTCGTCGTCGTAGTAGTAGTATAGTAGTCGTCGTCGTGGTGGTGGTGGTAGTGGTGGTGGTGGTGGTAGTAGTAGGTTAGTAGTAGGGTAGTAGGTTAGTAGTAGGTTAGTAGTAGTTTAGTAGTAGGTTTCAGTAGTAGTAGTAGTAGTAGTTGTTGTTGTTGTTGTTGTTGTTGTTGTAGTTGTAGTTGTTAGTAGTAGTGGTAGTAGTAGTAGTAGTAGTAGGAGTAGCAGTAGTAGTAGTAGAAGAAGAACCAACAAGGAGGAAAATCTTGACCGACTCCATTCGCCCTCCCTCAGTTATGTATATGGCTGGGTTACCCACTTGCGGATTTTTCTGGTGCTGTCTCTGTGTTGATTCTTGGGGTTGATCCTTGATAAATCGATTTTCGACCAAAGCGCCTCCCACCAAGCTGACTGGCTGCTCACGCTCTCAAGCCCATGTGTGGTCGGTGAGTGGAGGGCCGTGTGCACACAGCCCCGGGCTGCCCTGATTCAGCTGCAGCAGTACCGAGAACCATGGCAGATGCACACAAGTCTCCCAAACTCGTGTCCAGTCAAGCTGCCACCTGCGAACAAGTTTATCGCCTGCGGTGAATGTGGTTTTCATGCCAGCTATGATGTGTGGACCATTACTCCAACAAGGCTTGCAGACACATATTTTCCCATGGATCTTTGCAAAAACCAGCATTGGAAGGGTAAAAGGAAACCGTTGATCAACTTCCTGCGCTGTGCTGGCAATTTCAACTGCGCGTCGCCCTGCTTGTCATATCCCTGTTGCAGCAGAACAAAGATCAAAGGAGCAAACTGCCCCCGCAATTGCAAAACGGCCCGCAGCCCGCTGTGCCACAGCAATGTACATCTTGCCAGCAAGTGCTTCCCAAGTTGTGAAGCCCCAACTCGAAGCCAATGTGATCGACGCCAGGAAATTCGCCGCTACCCCCATGACAACGCCAAAGTTACAATAACAACTGGATGACAGACAGCGGTGCCGAGAGCAAGCGCCACCACTTTTGTCCATTTTTGGGAGCTGATGTCCAGGCCAATTGAAAAACTATGCCCGAGGATCATGCTGCTGCAAAGGAGCTAACTGGCTCTGTTGTTGTTGTTGTCGTCGTCGTCGTCGTCGACTGGCTCGTTGTCTCTTTGAACGACAAAACACACATGTTTGTTCTCATGTGTGGACCGCAAGGTGTAGTGCTCTGGTTGACTTCCTCCAGTGTCAGGGCTCACTCCACACGCTCGACTCAATGCCGTGGCGTCACAAAAACTCTAAAGTCTTGCGTGTCAGATTTGGCATGTGCTCATCGCCCATAGGAGCTCCGCTACCGATTGAAAACGCCCCATGCGGGTCAGACCACGTGTTCAAAGTGAGAATTAAGTGGGCTCCCGCAAGGGAAAGGCTGGCTTGTGGCGTTACGCTTTTGTCCTGCTATCAGAGACCAGGGCGTCACTTTGAAGCCCTGTTCATTTTGGAGATCGTTTTGTTGGATAAGTTTGGGAAAGCGTAGGACATCTTGATTGCTTTTTGCTACCATTCATTTTTGGGTGAGCTTGCCTGTCTTAGAGACGCTTCATGTTTGGCTGAAGCCACGGGGAAATGGCCAACAAGATGGTGACAAGTTTGCGCAAGGCTCTTTTTTCGAGCCACCGTGCCATTTGCTCTCGCTTTTCTCGTGAACTCGAGTTCCGTGACTTTACGCGTCCGAGCTCGATGTGCCCAGTATCTTGGCAGGTTGAGCAAGGCTCAAGAATTGTTGTGGAATGGCTTCATCAATGTGCCTGTTGCATGCCACTTGTGCGATACCATATGCCGTCTTCCCGTACTATGGGGACTGTGCCAACTCACCAATGTGCTGCCCTGATGAATGGTGGTCTTTCGCTGACGTATCATCAGCAAAAGCTTTCTAGAGCTGGTTTGTGATGTGCGGAGCTTGTTGACCTCATGAACCATGACCAAGATAAGGCGGTGCCGATTGCAGCACGCGGTAGAAGGTTGAGCAGAACCCTCCATGTCAATGACATGTCGCACCACGTTTCTCTGCTATCATACAAAGGCTGAGGAAAGGTAAACCAGAAGGTGGTGTCCTGTCTCCCCGACTTGTCTCCCTACTTGTCTCTTCTAAGAGAACATGCTCAACTCAGCTTTTAACACCCAGGAGCTGAAAGCACAGCTGGAAACGCATTCTGCCTTGCCCCTAAAGATTCGAAAGTGTCAATAGAGCTTTCAGAGCGTGTTATGTCAGACTGCTCAAACTGGCTTTGATCTGACTTAGGTAGGTGAGGCAGCAAACTTGGGACTTTGACAAACAAGTTTTGAAGAAAAAGGACCTCATTGACTTGATTCGCTAGCGTTTGTGCATGCCGGCAAGCGGTCTTGTGCATTGCTTGTCGCTAATGCTCTTGCGGACAACTGCTTAGATGCCAAAACCTAAAGTGCTTGAGCTTCGATTGAAGACCAAACGATGCCCTGTGTTTTCAGTTTAGCATTGGACATGTTTGTATTGTGGCTCATCTAACAACCTCAGTTTGATATTGACATTTTCAATTTCTCAAGCCTGGAAGGGGGTACATGAACACTGTAGGCTCAGTGAGTGCTAAACCCCCTACTTGTGTTCAGTGACCAGCTAGGTTTCCTTTATCTCGTTTTCTCAGTTTTGTCACAAGTTGCGAACGGAACTGTGTTGAAACTATTGACCCTGTGGGGTCTATTCACTGGCAAAGACTCTGGCATTCATTGAGAGCAGCTAGGGCCTCAGAAAGCGACATTCTGAGTTTAAAGACGCACGATGTCCTGGCAGGGGATGTTCCGCTCTGCATGAGGCTTAGACTAGTTAGTTATTTGTTCAAAGCAAGCAAAGGTTACGCTGCTGATGCTTGGAAAGCAAACAGGTTTTGCACCTTGCACGCCCCAAGAGACAGGTTCCCAGGCGCATTGGTTTATGTTCAGTATCATTGAAATCACATTGATTACAAGGTTTTGTGTGACGCTGCTTCCAGTCTAGATCATGCTAGCATAGGTTTATATATATATATGCAAGAGTCATGAGAACTCTTAGGTACTCATCCACGTATGTATGTGGATTCCGTAAGACTTTTGGAGCAAAGGCCCTTAGAGTGAGGAAAAGGATCGCACTGCCATCCCATCTTCGATTTCGATTCGGCATCCGCTTTGTTTGACTTGAGTTGTTGCGGCTACCGTGCATGGTAGCGGAGCCTCTGCCAGGAGGCTCCATAGATTCAGGGACCTACATCTTCAATTGCCAGGCCATTGAAGAGTTCAAGACGGTAGCATGGAGAAAGGCATTTCTCAGATAGAACGTACAAGAGAAGGTGTACCATGCTGGGATGGCAATGCAGCCACCTTTCAAGAGTTTGCTGAGATGGCTGGACACTGGGAACAGTCAGTTGCTAGACACAAGAGGTATCTATGTGGACCCAAATTACAAGCAGAGTTGACAGGCACAGCAAGACGTTTTGTGATGTCCATGAAGCCCGGGTGGATTTCACTTGAAGGTGGAGTTGACCGACTATTGAACCATCTCAGACAACACCTGGGACAACCACAGCTGACAGAGATGTCCGAGTACATGCAGAAGTATTTCAAGCAGACCAAGCGTCGCAAGCATGAGGCTATGAACGACTATATTACTCGGAAGTCAGAAGTGTATTCCAGGACTTGTCAGACACTTGAAAGAGTCCAGCATCGTTACACACCCGGGGGAAGCCAGTGGGGAACCGGAAGTGCTCCCTGGGATGATAACAGTACAACAGGACAGATGGAACATGAAGCTCGAGAAGAAGATGATCGTTACTATGACGCAGAGGAGGCTGATGAAGATTCAGCAGACCATGGTGAGCAGTGGAACTGGGGTGACCAATCATGGTGGCAATCAGGGGATTGGGAGCATCATGACTGGCAGTGTTCAAACTGGTCACGTACAAGAGGGAATGCATCCCATTCAGCCAGGAAGTCCACTTCCTGGAAGTATGAGACCGTCGAGCTGCTTCCATCCTTTGTCCAAGGTTGGTTTCTTCTGCAAGACGCAGGTCTTGAAGTACATGAACGGAACCTCATCATGACGGCGCTGAAAGATGATTTTTCTGTGGAGAGAGTTGCGCAGGAACTTCGCAGTCAGTGGCCCGACCACGAGCTCAAGAACAAGGACCATCATGGAAGAGCCTCAGCCTGGGCAGCAGAAGACCGCTCAGATGCTGATCCCGAGGATGACAAGATCAACCTCTGCATGTTGGTACATGAGGGAACTCACGGAAGAAGCCGAGGAGAATGCCCAGGAAGCCCTGGCTATGATCGAGAAGGGCAGACGCACCTTGAAGGAAGCCAGAGCAAAGCAGCACCAAGTCAAGATGAACCGCCAGTACTATCGCATGAGCCCACCGAAGAACCCGAACTGGCGAGCAGACAAACAGAATTCTTCTGTCAATTGTCTCAAGTGTGGATCCGCTGGCCATCGAACAGCTCAATGCCCCAAGAAGAGCTCAGGGCATGCGAATGAAGTGCATCAGGAGACCGCTCCTTTTGTGTGTTTCACTGAGTCTTTAGACAGTGAGGGCACAAATTCAGCTCATGTGGTCGCTTCCGGATTGACATCCGAGCAGGCCATGTTGCAGGGTAAGGTGATCCTAGATGGCGGCGCCACACGCACCTTAGGCAGTGTAAAGGCTCTTGAGCAAGTCATGGATTTGAACCAGAAGTCAAGGGGTGATTCTGGTATCAAGTGTGTTGACAGTGAGCAGCGACCCATTCTTGGTTTTGGGAACAGCAGCGTGGACCGTTGCCTCAGCACTGCCTGGTTGAAGGTGCTTGCAAATGGTCGAGAGGGTGAGCTCAAGGTTCACACCCTCGACCGAGGGGCCAGACCAATCCTTTTTTCAATTGAGACACTCCGTAGTTTAGGAGCTGTGATAGATTTCAAAGAAGATCTGGTGGTGTTTCGGGGTTTGGATGCGACCAAGATCATATCCCTGGAACGCTCCAGTACAGGCCACCAGCCGCTGCCCTTAGCGGAAGACTGGTACTCCAATGCCAAAAAGGCAACCCTGACCTCGCCGCGTAGCTCAACGAGTCATGAGGAAGAGACGAGTCCTAAAGTGGCCCCATGTCGCAGAGTGAGGAGAGCCCAGTGCTGTTAAATCCAAAGCGGTTGAGCCAGGTGGTCCAACAGGGGGTTCACGGCCGCTGCAAAGTATTCCTGAGCAGGGCAAGGAGCCAGTCCCCAGCCTTCGTGAGTTCGCCCGAGAGCGGAAGGAAGGTCAGAGATTTGGGCTTAGGAAGCAGCAGTGAAGGTGAATGTCTTCAAGAGGAGAGTCTTTTTGAGAGTGATCGTATCGAGCGTGTTGATGATTTAGGTAGCCGGCGTGTGTTGTTTCTGGTGTGAGCGGTAGGCATGTTGTTTTTGATGTTGTTGAAGAAACGATCAAACCTCTGGACAAACATACCACGTACCGTACTGACCATGCACCACACATTGAACAACCACATACCACAGCCACTCACCGTGATCAAGCAAGTTGGATCCAGACCGGACCTCAGGCAGTCACCCAGCATGGCTCTGAATCGAGGGGAGATCCTCATGGAGCTCATAAGCATGGGCGAGTTGCCTCCCAAGTCATGGACCAACGCGGAGATGCAGGTGCGGATGGAAGAGCTCAGAAAGGCTCATTCATGGGTTGACTCCGAACCCAAAGATCAAGGAGAAGACCCCCCTGCGCCAGCTGATGATCAAGCTCAATGCCGCGGCCGCGCGGAAGAGCGACTTGGCAGCTTTCTGTCGAGACGAGCTGGGGAATTCTGGCGGCATACGAGCAGGCCCAGGCATCCCCGGAGGATGCCATGGGGTTCGGGAAACACTCATCCCTGACCTACCAGGAAGCCCTCCAGACGGACTACCAGTACGGCGCCTGGGCGATCGACGCCCTCCTAGAGAATCCGAGCCAGTGCGACCCGGCTTGTCAGGTTCGCCAAGTGGTTCGAGAAGGCCACGGAGGCCAAGATGGAGACTCCCAAGATCAAGCCCTTGAATGTGACTCGCGAGGAAGTGGTCCAGCAGGGCTACCTCCGAGCAGGACCCAAGGCCAAGACCAAGGCCGCAGTTCTGGAGCTGAAGAGCGAGATGAAGGATATGCGGGAGAGCCGCTCTCCGGAAATGCCTCGCAAGAAGGCAGCAGCCTCGGAGATTCCATCCTCCGAGTACTCCATCGTGAAGATGGAACCCAGTGGCCCGGGAGGCCAGCTTAGTTCTCCAGGCTCGGACCCTAGCATTCCAGCTGCACCTGGTAGGCCACCCAATGACCATGAGGGTTTGCGGTTGTCAAGAGGTGAATGCCAGTTTTTGGAACGTAGGTGTAATGAGCTGTTGCAGAACCATGTGGAAGATCTTAGACCCTCTGGTAGGTGCATATTACTGGAAGTTGCGCGCGGTTCCGAGAGTGTTTTGACTTCTACCATGCAGGAGTTGAGCCAAGACACCAATTCTGCTCAACGAGTTGCTGTGTGGAACGGTTTTGATATCACCACTAGTTCGGGCGTCAAAGGAATTCTTTCTGAGATTGAGTTGTTGAACCCGGAGCATGTTTGGATGTCACCAGATTGCGGACCATACAGCCAGACGCAGAACCCCAATCAGAGGACTGCAGAGCAACGATCAGCGCTCGAAGAAAAAGTCGGCGCGCACTAAAGCAGTATGTGGGGTGTGGGATCATCTTTGCCTTTTGTGTGCAACGAGGCACACATGTTTCATGGGAGCTTTCTGAGACTTGCCAAGCCTGGCGACTTCCCCTTCTTCAAAGGCTTCAGGCTAGGTATCAGGTGTACATGTCTGTGACTCGTGGTTGCCAGGTCAATCTCAGGGATGTTCACAAACAGTACATTTCTAAAGGTTGGAGAGTGATGACCACCCACAAGCTGTTGTCTGAACGGTTGGATTTGCCATGTCGGCGCCTCCCCCAAACTAAACATGTTCCGTGTGAAGGTTCGAATACCGCACGAACGGCCTTTTACACTCCGGAATTTGCGAAAAGAGTTTGTGAGGCCATTTTGGGACGAGGAAAGAACCACATGCTTTTGGCTGAACTTCAAGGACGTTTGGACCTTGGGGACATGTTTGGGAAGGGAACCATATGCATGTGTGGAGAAGGAAACCAACATGGAACTCAGATTGTTTGTGGACATTGTGTGCAACAGGAATCTTCATTTCAAGAAGGACTTGCCGAGGACACACGTAAGAAAGAAATAGGTGAACGTATGACCAAGGAGGAGATTCGTCGTCGTCTGTTTCTTTTACATTCCGCCACAGGACATGGACAGATCCGACACTTGATACAAACGTTGAAACGTAGGGGAGTTTCGAGAAACGTTTTGAAAGAGGCTGAGCAATTTAGATGCCCTGTTTGTGAAGAACGGAAAAGGCCTCAGCCCAGGAACATGTCTTCCCTGGAACCAATTCCCATGAGGTTTCAGGTGGTGAGTTGTGATGTTGGACACTGGTTTCATCCCACCACGAAAGAGAAGTGGCAGTTTGTTGTTTGTGTGGACGAGAGCTCACGTTTCAAGGTGGCACGATTTGTGG